GTAAGGATGAGAGCGAGGGTGACGTCTTTGACGAACCCATTCTGGATAAGGGCGACGACGACGACGAAGACGGCGATGTGGGCAACGCGGGAGCGCTGATCAATGTGGACATTGCCGGCGCCCGATATGCCAAGATTAAGGGCGATCAGGTGTGCAATCTTCAGATCACATACAACCAGAGCGTATGGATTGGCGATTGTCGGCCGGCGCTGACCGATGCCGAACAGTTCCCGCCGTTCATTGTGGCCGCCATTAAGGGAAGGGATCGCAACTGGTATTACTTCGACGAAAAGGGAAAGTACTGCAAACGCGCCGAAGGGACCAGAGATAAGGTATGTTTTTGTGTCCATCACTTGGTTTATAACCAGGTGTTCAGTAAATGTTTTGTAAATTACACTTTAAGTACACATATAGTGAACAAAAATTTTATTTAAGATTAATTAACTTAAATATTAATGTTTTGTTTGCTATTTGAACGCATGTATCACCGGATATATGCAGTGCACGGACTGGAAAGACAACGGCGAAGTGTTCGGCTGCAACGCTAAGAAACTAAAGCCCGAGTTGGACGCGCTGTGCGATAACGTGACCATCAGCTCGGGTGGCAATTATCCGCCGTTTGTGTATATATTCCGGGGCCGGAAGTACTGGAAGTTTGACGGCCATCACCCGAAAGCGGGCAAACCGTTGGGCGATCTCATCAAAGGCAACCGTCCGGCCAAAGAGGAGTTCGATGGCATCCATATGCCGGGCGGCGCCTCCTTCAACAAGAACGCCTTCGTTGTGGTCTATAAGAACACGTGGAGTCAGTGGAAGCCAAAGGGTGCCGACATTGGTCTGCATAAGAAGATGCGCCGCAACGACAACGAGATCAATAACGCGCCGATAGGGACGGCAACTATGGAGATATTGGGAGAGCCGGACGATCAGCCCGACGGCGAACCCGCAGATAAGGGCGCTCTGATCGCCACCAACGAGAAGAAGGGCCGATACGCTGTGATTAGAGGCAAACAGATCTGCTATTACCTGATGACCGACGCCAAGCTTTCGTCGGTCGGCAAGTGTCAGCCCGTGTCCGACGATAAGAACAATTACCCGTCGAATACAATCGCTGTGCTCAGGGATAGGGACCGCAACTGGTATTTCTTCGACAGCAGAGGGAAGTACTGTAAACGAAAAGCCGGAAACAAAGACAATGTATGCCATGAACTACTCGTCCCACCATTTAGTTGTTTTCTAATCTTATATCTAATGTCTTTCGCAATGCCTACCAGTGCTCCAAATGGCAGTCCAATGAGGAAGTGTTTGGGTGTCGTGTGAAGAGCAAAGTGTCGTTCGTGCAGAGCCTGTGCGGCAACGTTAAGATCAGCGCCGGCACCAACTTTTCGCCCTTCGTGTACGTGTTTAGAGGCGGGAAGTACTGGAAGTTCAACAATAGGCCCAAAAAGAACAAACCGTTTGGCGATATCGTTGACGGCGGGAAACTGGCCGCAGAGAAGTGGCCAGACATTCATTTCCCCGGCGGCGCCGGCTATCGTAAGTCGGCGTTCGTAATGGTCTATCGGGACAAGTGGTCGCTGTGGCGAAAGACGTCGACCGAAGTGTTGGACGCGACGATCGGTGTGTCCGGCGATGGAAACTCCAACGACGACGAGAACGATGTGATGGTCAGGAGCTCTGCCGACGGCGACTTTGACGACGCTTTGGTGGCCGACGGGGAGGGAGACTACGATTTGATGCGCGAAGACATGGACCCCAGCTATGAACACGCCTTAACTGTGGCCGAGGATTAGACTCGTGTGACTCTCTCGACCAGCACTTTGTTTAGGCACTTGTTATCATTCATTTGGTTTAATTTTGTTTGTAATTTATTTTTATTAATTTTTATTATTTTTGTATTGTGTACATAACTTATTGTAATATTAATAAATGTGAAAGCATCAATCTTTATGTTCATTTCGATCGTCTTTAGTTTATCCAGAGTAGAAAGAATATACCGTTTGGTACGCCAAACAGCAGGGTCATTTTAAACAACATACCAAACAATTTTCATTCAATTTTATTTTCCAGATATATTTTTAAATTCACAAAAATAGTACAGTTTTAATAAAATACAATTAATAGTATTTTCTCCACATAACAGAATACAATAATAAGTGTTAATAATATAATGCTATTTCATATTTATGGTCACAATTAATATCTCAACTACTAATCGATACCCTATTTAACCATTTTATTGGTGGCGACCGTAAGACAGGAGTGGATCTGATTTAAAACAGTTTCATCATTCAAATGCATTTTGTGACCATTTTTGCCATCATTGGAAGCGCTGGTATTGTTGTCTTCGTCGTCGACTTCTAAGGTATTATAAAGTAAAATGCGTATAAAAGCGGAATTTATCTTTTAAAATGTGATTCTTTAGCCATATTTAGTAAATGATTGAACATATGTTTCCCAGTCTTGCGGCACATGTCATACAACTGTCCCTTTCGTTGCAGTAAAACAAACGGTTCGTCAAACTCTATGATCTCTCCCGCGTCTAACACCTAATCACGTGATATACAAAACACACATTAATTACTTTTAATTATTTAATAATTTATTTCTATTATAATTAAAATACAAACCAAAACGCGATCGCAATCTATAATAGTGTTGAGTCTGTGAGCGATCGTAAGGACAGTACAGTCACTGAATTTGTGACGAATTGTGGTTTGAATTAAGGCATCGGTTTGATGGTCAACATTAGCGGTCGCCTCGGGTAAGACATATCTTGTAAATAAACATATATATGAAAATTTAATACAAATTAAAGTTTTATTATTAGTTTTTAGCCCTAAATTCATTAAATATATTTTGGTTAATAAGTGTAAAAAAATTTTAATCAAAAGTTTAAAACTTTTGTTCCAATTATTTTCAATAAACACATTATTTATGGCTTTTATGTGAAACATTTGCCTTTCATTTCACAACTCATTCACACATTTCTATCAAAACGTGTTTTGAATTGTGTATTAAAATTGANTGGAATTTTAACATAATTTTTAATTAAATGTCAATTTTTATGTCAATTAAATGTCAACGAAACGACAATTTTTATTAATACAAATCTAAATAAATGTTAAATTGTACAAAATGTACGCAAAATTGTGTGAAATAATTGGACATATATTTGTTCCCTTATTCCTGATCCGTGTTATTCTAATTGTATGGCGTTTTGTACGCAATTGTGTGAAGAGAGACCCACTGGTAGGGGACGGGCGGTCGTGGGCTGTGATAACGGGTGCGACGGACGGCATAGGCCTGTCATACGCCCGACAGTTGGCTCACAAACGCTATAATCTATTACTCATCTCTCGATCGGCGGATAAACTCGAAAAAGTGAGAAACGATTTACAAGTAATACAACAGCCGTTAAACACAACCACAATAGTATTGGACATTGACTTCGCTATCAATACCGATGAAGTGTACGATCGCATTGACCGGGAGTTACAGACAATGAACATACATGTGCTCATTAACAATGTTGGTATGTATTGTCCGGATGGTGTGCCCAGAAATTTCATTGACGTACCAGATCTAAGCAAATATAACCAAGATATAATCAATGTAAATATCATCGCCTGCACACGATTAACAGCGCTGATACTGCCGGCAATGATAAACAGGAATCGGGGTGTTATCATTAATTTATCCTCATTTGGGGCCACATTTCCGTACCCACAACTGGCCGTATACTCGGCTACAAAAGTATACGTCGATTACTTTAGTCGAGCGCTGGAGGCCGAGTGCAGACACACCGGTGTTGTTGTACAAAGTGTTTTGCCCTTTTTTGTATTGACCAAGATCATTGGGCACGTGGGCACCCAATCATTTGCCAGATTAATTATGCCAACGGCCGACAGCTTTGTTGGTCAGGCAATCGGAACCGTTGGCCGCCAGAGCCGTACTGCCGGACATCTCTTTCATCGTTTGGTTTATTTACTCAATAGTTATTTGAAAGTGATTTCCCTTATAATAGACATTGATCTGAATTTAAACATGGCACATTTTCTAATTAAATGCGCCAAACGGCTAAATGTATTTAATAAATAATTCTTGGCTAAATAAATTAAAATGACTTAATACAAATATATTGTAAATTTAGAATTTTTATTAAAATTATTTGATTTTAATCATTTCAAACAATGCATTAAATAAAGTTAAATATTAATATAATATCTCCGATACTGAATGTAATAATTATAAAATAACACAAATATCGATAATTTCTTTTTATAAATAATTACAAAAGCAATTGAAATCCATATCCAAAATGTTGGCAATGATGTCATCATTCATTCGCCGATTCTTTTCACACCGGAATTATACTTAATTTGGGGGCCCCAATAACCTAGATGCATAAATTGGATTAATGTACCGGTAATAATTTCAGCCCTATTCAATTCAAATCATTAATTGTTTACGTGTTGTTTGAGTGGATCCCTGTATATGCAAGTGATAGATGTCGGGCATCTGTAAGAAGGGAGCGATAGCTTCATCGGTGCCCTCGAATTTGCCCGAGGAGTCAATGAATCGCAATCGCCGTAATCGCGACAATGACTGCAACGCCTGATCCGTAATCGCTGCTAAATATAGGCCCAAATGTTGAAGTCGTGGCAAATGTTGCCATATATTGTCGAAGAACTCGTCGCCGAATCGAAATCCATATAACTCTAAACGAGTCAATCGTTTCAACGCTGACAACGACTCGGAGGTAATCTTCACGGTTTGAATGCGATTTAATTCAAACTTCAATCGATGTAATCGTGGAAACCATGTGTTAATCGCGTGAAAGACATCTGGTTCAATCGAATAGTCCGTTAAATGGATCCATAAATACTTCACTCCAAGACATTTGCCACCAAATTGTGTCAATAAAGACAACGATTTGGTCTTACAATTGTTATAATATCTGAGCCGAAGAGCGGTCAATGTCCGCAAATGTGACAATCCATTGGCTAGTCTTTGGGTGAATATTGGGGTCGGGCTATGAATTGTGAGCTCAATTGCGGTCACTGTTTGGCCATAATTGTGGCAAAACATATCAAACGCGTCCAAATCGGTGACACTTCCGCCAAACCTGTCGTCGCAACGAATACCCAAATGAAGTGATTTGAGACGTTTGAAGACAAGCGGTCTTTCGGTAAGCATTGATAGCGAGTGTTGGGACAACTCGTCGCTCTCAGCCCTGTATTGAGACAATCGGACACAAGTCCTAATCCATGGCATAATTATATCCGATTGTCTGTCTCTGCAATTAAACCGAATTGTCTTCAATTGCAAACCAAATCGGCTGAAGAAGCGGTGGATCGCGTCGTCGGTGTTGTCACTGAAATCAATGACAATGCATATCAAGTGCGGGCAGTAATCGGTGACCAGATCGATGGCCGCGTCGGTCAACCGCACAAATTCTCTCCAATCGCTGTATATGTGAGTGATTTGGGAACAGCTGATGACAATAGTCTTGAGGGCATCTGAATTCTTGCGGCACTTTTGGTGTAACTCCTGATCAAAATTTAAGACTTTCTGAGCGTTGTTTGAGAGCATTCGGAACCGTTTGGACACTCGCTGTCGAAGGAATCGGTTCTCCAGTGATATGTATGGCAACAACTCTTTGTACAAATCGTCGCCAAATCTGTCGAAACAGTCTTTGCTATAAGTTTTGGACATATTTTTGGCCAACAATTTGTGATTTAATGAATTTTAAAACACAATTCAAAACACGTTTTGAGAGAAATGTGTGAATGAGTTGTGAAATGAAAGGCAAATGTGTTTCACATAAAAGTCATAAATAATGTGTTTATTGAAAATAATTGGAACAAAAGTTTTAAACTTTTGATAAAATTTTTTACACTTATTAACCAAAATATATGAAATATATTATTATAGTTCAGTCATTTACTAAATATGGCTAAAGAATCACATCTTAAAAGATTTGATACCACACAAGTCGACGACAAAAACAGCAAATATTATTAAACACTTATTATTGTATTCTGTTATCTGAAGAAAATACTATTAATTGTATTTTATTAAAACTATACTATTTTTGTGGATTTAAAAATATATCTGGAAAATAAAATTTAATGAAAATTATTTGGTAAATCGTTGAAAATGACCCTGCTGTTTGGCGTACCAAACGGTATACTCTTTCTACTCTGAAAAACTAAAGATGATCGAAATGAACATAAAGATTGATGCTATCACATTTATTAATTTTACATAAGTTATGTACACAAATACAATAAATCATAAAACATTAGCTAAATAAATGACAAACAAAATTAAACCAAATGAATGATAACAAGTGCCTAAACCAAGTGCTGGTCGAGAGCCACGCGAGTCTAACCCTCGGCCACAGTTAAGGCGTGTTCATAGCTGGGGTCCATCTCTTCGCGCATCAGATCGTAGTCTCCCTCCCCGTCGGCCACCAAAGCGTCGTCAAAGTCGCCGTCGGCAGAGCTCCTGACCATCACATCGTTCTCGTCGTCGTTGGAGTTTCCATCGCCGGACACACCGATCGTCGCGTCCAACACTTCGGTCGACGTCTTTCGCCACAGCGACCACTTGTCCCGATAGACCATTACGAACGCCGACTTACGATAGCCGGCGCCGCCGGGGAAATGAATGTCTGGCCACTTCTCTGCGGCCAGTTTCCCGCCGTCAACGATATCGCCGAACGGTTTGTTCTTTTTGGGCCTATTGTTGAACTTCCAGTACTTCCCGCCTCTAAACACGTACACGAAGGGCGAAAAGTTGGTGCCGGCGCTGATCTTAACGTTACCACAGAGGCTCTGCACGAACGACACTTTGCTCTTCACACGACACCCAAACACTTCCTCATTGGACACCCATTTGGAGCACTGGTAGGCATAAGACATTAGATATAAGATTAGAAACAACTAAATGATGTGACGAGTAGTTCATGGCATACATTGTCTTTGTTTCCGGCCTTTCGTTTACAGTACTTCCCTCTGCTGTCAAAGAAATACCAGTTCCGGTCCCTATCCCTGAGCACAGCGATTGTATTCGACGGGTAATTGTTCTTATCGTCGGAAACGGGCTGACACTTGCCGACCGACGAGAGCTTGGCGTCGGTCATCAGGTAATAGCAGATCTGTTTGCCTCTAATCACAGCGTATCGGCCCTTTTTCTCGTTGGTGGCGATCAGAGCGCCCTTATCTGCGGGTTCGCCGTCGGGCTGATCGTCCGGCTCTCCCAATATCTCCATCGTTGCCGTCCCTATCGGCGCGTTATTGATCTCGTTGTCGTTGCGGCGCATCTTCTTATGCAGACCAATGTCGGCCCCCTTTGGCTTCCACTGACTCCACGTGTTCTTATAGACCACAACGAAGGCGTTCTTGTTGAAGGAGGCGCCGCCCGGCATATGGATGCCGTCGAACTCCTCTTTGGCCGGACGGTTGCCTTTGATGAGATCGCCCAACGGTTTGCCCGCTTTCGGGTGATGGCCGTCAAACTTCCAGTACTTCCGGCCCCGAAATATATACACAAACGGCGGATAATTGCCACCCGAACTGATGGTCACGTTATCGCACAGGGCGTCCAACTCGGGCTTCAGTTTCTTAGCGTTACAGCCGAACACTTCGCCGTTGTCTTTCCAGTCCGTGCACTGCATATATACGACAATACATGCATTCAAATAGCAAACAAAACATTAATAGTTATGTAAATTAATCTTAAATAAAATTTTTGTTCACTATATGTGTACTTATAGTGTAATTTACGGCACATTTACTGAACACCGGATGATAAACAAGTGATGGACTCAAAAAAACATACCTTATCTCTGGTCCCTTCGGCGCGTTTACAGTACTTTCCCTTTTCGTCGAAGTAATACCAGTTACGATCTCTTCCCTTAATGGCGGCCACAATGAACGGCGGGAACTGTTCGGCATCGGTCAGCGCCGGCCGACAATCGCCAATCCATACGCTCTGGTTGTATGTGATCTGAAGATTGCACACCTGATCGCCTTTAATCTTGGCGTATCGGGCGCCGGCAATGTCCACATTGATCAGCGCTCCCGCGTTGCCCACATCGCCGTCTTCGTCGTCGTCGTCGCCCTTATCCAGAATGGGTTCGTCAAAGACGTCACCCTCGGTCTGGTCCTTACCCGGCATCCAACGCGACCACTTGTTCCGGTACACCATTACCATCGCCTGCTTGTGGTGCGATTGGCCGCCCGGTAGGTGAACGCCCGGCCACTTGTCGCGGGCGGGCAAAGCGCCGGTTATTAGTTTGCCAAATGGTTTGCCCGGCTGTTCCTTATTGTCAAACACCCAATATTTTTGACCCCTGAATACCAATATCAGTGGCCAGTGATTGCCCGCGGCTTTGATTTTGGGTTTGTCGCAAAGCGCTTCCATGGTTTCCGATTGATCGGCGTCGCACCCAAACACCTCTTTGTTGTCTTTCCAATCGTTACACTATTATAAAGTCAATTATTATTACACATTCAGTGAAGAGGTCGGCCCATAAGGTGACCAACAATCACATACATCAGTGGTTTCCCTATCCTTTCGGGTGCAGTACTTGCCATCCCTATCGAAGTAATACCACTGTCCGGCCCGAGTCTTGACGGCGCCCACAATTTTGGGCGGGTATTTGTTGGGGTCCTCCCTAACGGGTTTGCACTTCCCGTCCCAATACATCTTTCCCATTCTGATAATCACGTGACACACGTCGTCGTCGATAATCTTCGCAAACTTGTTCGGCGAATCGCCGGACGGTATGAGCGCTCCCAAGTCGTTGAGATCGCCCTCCGGTTCTCTAATCTCGTCGCCGATTGGCTGTTCGTTGACATTAACGGGCGGCGAGTTTTTACGCGCAGAGGGTTTCGGTGCCGATTCAGCCGCGGCTTCAGTAGTGCCCTCCGGATCGCCGTCTTTGGGTTTACGGCCACCCGTTTTGCCGCCCTTTTTCCGTTTCGCCGGTGACTCTCCACCGCTGTCTCCGTCCGCGTCACTCGGCTTAGGTTTGCGGCCCTTTTTGCTGGCCTTCCCTTTTGGTGATTCACCAGCGGCTGAGTCTTCAGCGTCCGGATCTGCTTTACCTTTGCGACCCTTCTTCGGGCCCTTTGACTTCGGTTTCTCTTCGTCTTCGCCATCGGAAT